TTAGTATTTCTTTAAATTATAAGATTCAAATCTATTTAGTGCTGGGGGGGTGAACAACCAACCGTAAATAGGCCTACTTCAAATAGGCAATGTTTCCTCTCAGTCATTTAAGTGGGGGCAGCTTTCTTTTTTGTTGGGACACTTTTCAGAGAAGTTCCTTCAGACAATTATCTCACTTCAAAGTTTCTTCCTTAACCTTGAGTTGGAGTAGCTTCTGCACTTTCACTATTGGGCGTCCTGTGGGATTATATTTACCTCGTGATGTGCTCTCTCAATTTCAATGAGGTACAATTGATAACTTGAGACGGACTGAGAGGTATTGATTCAAATGTATGAGAAATTTGGGTGCTCTGAGGGCTTTATAGTTGCTATTTGTTGCATTAAATCATATTGTGTGCAGGTGTTGCTTTTCTTGTGTCCTCCCCTGCAGGAGGAGATTTTGAAGCTTCCCTACTCTCCTGCCACTCGCAGAAAATGTCTTTCCTGACAACTTACTTAGTGTTGTTTTTAAGATAAACATGTGGCAATGCAGTGAGAGGGCTTGCTTCCAGCACAAAAAATAACTTGAATCAAGTGACATCCGGTAAACTTTTTCATTAAATTTAAATTAAATTTCAACATGTGAAATGTTGGATTAATTTTTTACTTGATTCTTATAAGTAGGCCTATATGTTTCGTCACTAATACTCTACATAGATTTCTCTTTGTGTTTCTTGTTTTATCTTCTAGTCTTATTTTCTGACCTCAGCTCTTGAATTATTACCAAATAAAAATGTTCGAAGTGAACTTCCCAGCTGTTTTGGGAAACAAAGACTACTTGTCACATGGAGACCTTCCAGAAACAGGGTGAAGATTAAGACACACTGCTGCAGTGCTGTCTGCTAATAATCCACCCTGCCAGTTTCCCAGAAAGTACAAGAAAGTACACAAACCCCTTTTGCGTGAAAGTCCATGTCTTGCACAGTAGACGCAGTCTGGTTAATGTCTCTAAAAAATGAACACCTTAAAAAAAGACCCATTTTCACTTCGTCACCTCATGCAACAGTAAGCCTGCAGAGTCCTGGTGCTTTTCATTCTTTAATGGTTAACTGCAGAGTGTATGACATGAGGGGCGGACTCTGACTAGTTTATCATTGACTTGCATGGCTTGTTATGTGAGGTGCATCACTTATCAACATGTTACATGCTTTACAAAACAGTTTTCACAGAACCGTGTTGATAGAACAATTGTAAAGAACAGAACTTGAAGAGGTTTTGTCTTTTTGGATTAAGTCCAGTTTTTATTTTTTTATTTGAATAGTGTAAGTTACGCCCCAAAACCAAACTTTTAGAATTTTCCCCTAAATGGAAAATTCCATATTAGTCTGGATAAAAAAATATTGGGTGTATTTCTAAACACTCTAGGACCTCCTGAATAAAATATTTATCTGTTGTTTGTATCTGGAGATGCGCACTATTGGTCAAACCTATGAGATCTTACTCATGTAAGTGATAAGTTTCATTTACAACAGGAAGATAGCAGTGATGTTGCAGGCAGACTCTCATTAGGCCTCGTTTACTTGTTGTGTATGGGGCAACAGTGGCTTGGCCATTTAAAATACAATATACAAACCTGCGGATCAGGAGTCTAAACATGCACGCACCGACACACGGCCTCTGTATTTACAGAACACGGATGAGTCAAACTGCCGCTAAGCCCTTCAGCTGTGTGTGACACATAGCCCCTAGTGAAGACTCTGTCCTGCGCTCCAACCCCAAATAAAGACATAGGCCAGCACATTGTTGTCATCAGCTCTGCTCCTGGTGTCAGAGCAGGGAAGATGGAGCGTTTTTCAGCTGCTGGTGTTTAGGAAAGCCTTCCAGAGGACAGAGTCCTGGGAATTGTTTGTATGATGTTGTCGTGCTGTATTATGATCATGGAACAAGCTTTGGAAAGTGCGTTTATCTTACCTCATGCTGTATCACTTCAGGGTGTGGGAATGTGCATCCGATCAGGACTTCAAATTGTTTTTAAAACTGTATTATCTCACTTCAATCTGTACATGGGTTTAAGTGATACAGGCTGGCTTTCTCTGTATATCTTGGTACTGAATCTCAAAGATGTTATATTTTATTCCAGATGCCTTTAGTTGTTTGCGTTGGTGGGTTTTCTTTTAGGTGGCTGAAATTTTTGCTACTGACCCTGTCCACAGTAGTACATTGCTTAGCTTCTGTGCTGGTACAACTCTCTGCCTCTCCAAACTGGGGACACGCTAACTGCCATCAAAACCTTTCCTTTCAATGTCCCCCTTCCTTCAGGATTAATTGTAATAACTTTAGTTGATCCTTAACTTTTCATCATGATCAATGCATCGCCTAAAGTTAGTCCAAAATGGTGCAGCTCGACTTTTAACTTGCTGCACAAAATGTGACCACATCACCCCTGTTTATTCATCCTGGCACTGGCTGCCTGTTTCTTTTAGGACTGATTTTATGGCCTAGCACCTATATGTCTGAGCTTAGATTCCCCTGTGAGCCAGTACACAGGCTTAGATCCTCTGGTAGGGCATTGCTAGCATTTCCAACTTCTAGTGCATGGGTTTTCAAAGTCTGAGACTGTGATCCCCTCAGACAAATCTTGGAAAAAGGCGCCCCTCCCTAAGTTTACCTGGTCAGTTTTGCTCAAGTCCTGGATGCCTAAGGGATCATGATTATGTTATATGATCACATAAGCAGACAGAATTAAGCCTAATATTGCTGTATGACAGCACAGATTACACCAATTACATAAATAAGGTCTGTCATATGGGATTTATGAATCTCTGGGAATGTAGGAAAAACTGTAAAATTCCCCCAAACTACTGTATCCCTGAACTATCTCTTTAACTGAATTACACAGAATTAGGCATTTCTATATCCCCTTTTGATATTTAATGTAATAACTAATGTAATATTTTTTCACTGAGCCTCCCATGAAACTTATTGGAGCCCCCTTGGGGAGGGCCACCTCCCACTTTAAAAACCTCTGGTCTAGGCTAAAAACCAAAGGAGACAGGGGCCCTACACTCTGGAACAGTCTACCAGAGGAGATCAAACTTGCAGAGTCTGTTCCTGGTTTGATCTCACTTCTTAAAACATTTATACAAAAAAGCTTTCAATGTGTGATGCATATTTCATTTCTCGATTATTGGTATATTGACTTGTTTACTTTTTATTTATTTAATTCAAACCACTATGTGATTTGTAATTAATTTTTCCTGTAATTGTACATTTACTTTTTGCTTTCACTCGACTAGTCTATGTTTTACATTGATTGCTGTAAAACACTTTGTTACCTGTATTGAAAAGTGCTATACAAATAAAGATATTCACTTTTCATCAAAATTTCATTTTTCAAAGACTTTGGTTTATGACCAAGTACCTGCAAAACAAGTGATGTTCCCATCAGCATCAGCTGCACTTTATTGTGTTTAGGGATAATTAGCAAATGTTAGCATGCTAACATGCTAAACTAAGATGATGAACATGGCAAACATTATACCTGCTAAGTAGTCTTGTTTTTTGTTGCATTTTGTGTTTTCAGTGAACACTAAGTCTAAAGGAGCCTAATAACCGTCATGATAGTGTGATCTAATATTTCAAAACACGAACAAGATTAAACTTTTATTCTGTCAGCATTTTTCAGTTCCCTGAAGGACAAAAATGACAATATCTGGACAACAGGCAATGCTTTGCCATGACTTAACAGCTGACCAGTGGTTCCTAATGAGTTTTGAAGGTTCAGGGACAAAACTTGTCACCGCATGCTGCTTGCTCAGCTGATTTAAGTGACAAACAGGAAGTCTGTTTCTTGGATTGGTTAAAAGTTGGTCAAGTGTGATGGTCACAGAGCTTCCATTTCTCAAATGCCTTGATGACAATAAAATTGCATTAAAAACAGAGGGTCGAGATTAACAGATTCAACAATCAAAGTGATCTCTTGTTCAAATCGGTGATGTTCTCGCTAAAGTTTTTGTCAAATTCCTTCAAAAGCAAAGCCAGTTCATTCAGACAGATATCATCGGCTTATGAACACTGTTAAGCTGCAAATACATTTTTAATTAAAAACTGATTCCCATGTCATGCAATGACCACTAAAATCTGATTTAGAACATGATGCAGTTTGATTGTGAAGAGATGAGTGTTTTTTAATCCTGCTTCTCAGCTGCTGGGTTTCATTTCAGCTTTGGGATTGATTTACACCTGGAACAACAGTGCAGATAACCAGCTGGTATGGCAGAAGCCCAGCAGCACTCTGGGTGTGGAGAACCACTGATAGGTAATACATGCAGTTAGCTGTACTGGACTAACATTATGGTGTTTATTATTTATTCATATTATGGCATCTATATTTGCTTTTCTCTCTAATGCTGGATTCTTGTTTGCAGTGTAAACGCAGATCTGGAATAAAAAACAAATCATTTCTAAAAGTACCATTAATTAAAGTACTATCCCTTTAACCAAAAACAAGACTTTCCAATATAAATAGATGGAATATTTTTGTGTACTACTCATCCTTTTCCAAGTTCAATAACTACGGGAACATCATGTTTTAAGACCTCAGCTGTTTTCCACACAAGACAATTGTGAGTCAGGTTATGTTTATACATATTTCTTGTGCGTTCATCCCACTTTTGTCAACTGACGTTTGCACTCTATTCTTTGTAGCCAATCTGGTTTGGTAATGACCTCTGTCTGAGACAAATTGTGCTGTTGCCGTCAGACCTAAATGTTTCTTCTTGGGCTGCTTTCATCTCCACCTCCTGTGTTCATCTGGACAAATCCAACCTGCTCTTACACTGAAGTTCTAACTCTCTGTAGTGACTAAAGTCACCTCTAGATCATCACCACATGCCTATGATTCATTCGTGCATTTACATCCCATGAACACTATAAATTCGCAATATGGTGTAATTGCTAAAGACTCTTTCTATCCCGGCTCATAATTTCAGTGATTTAATCAATAAAGACATAATACTAACAACTCTCTTAATATTTATTTTCATTGATTTTTGCTGAATGAAAAGTGAATAGAGGTGTAGAGTGAGCAATAGTTAATTAAAATCTTACTAAAGTGACATTTACATCTTATGTTGTGCAGCGTCTCTGCTGCTGTGTCTGTAAGATAATGGAGTAGTTTTCCCATCAAGCACCAATCCAACCAATTAAAACACAGTGATCTTGCTTTGTGGACAACCATGTTCTCTCTGCTTCTCTGTGTCGGTGAGTAAATGGAAGATTCACTCGGATTCCAGCTATTTGCTTTTCTTTTGTTTTGAGTTGTTTGTCTTCCTCAAACCAAAACAGAATGACAAACACCTCTCACAGTCGTCCCATCATATCAGCTGCACAGATATCTTTATAACATTATCTGCCTTCAGGCAATTTGTCACTGCGCTGACAATACGCCTGGATCAGCTTTGCTTGAGATCAGTTGTGGATTGTTGCATTTTCAGATTACATCAAGTGGATGTAGCACGTGATGCCAAAAATACTGCTGACCCTCACCTCCCCCATTTTTTCCATTTTAGGTCATTCAGCCACAATCAGATTTCTTTTTTCAAATACTCCATTTGATTTTCTGAGACAATTTATTTTTAAATATTTAAATACCAAAATAATCATCCCTTAGGGGAAGCATACGCCATTCAACACATTCATTTAAACTTCATTTCAATGCATCATCATCAGTCATTTTAAGCACCTTTTCCCTTTTTAATTCCCCTTTAAACATCACCATATATTTGTCGGTTTGCTTCTTTGAACAATCGGTGGTACTCATTGAGCTTCAGTGATTTTTTTCAGACCAACAACACACATCTATTATTATTATCTTTTCTGTCGGATCATGTGTTACTCAATGACTTTTCCTCGCACAGCGGATGAAAGACCAGATGTTGTGGCGGTCTCTTAGAAAATCCTTCATCTGCCACTAAAAAACCTCAGTAAAAGCAACCAAAGACAAAGAAATGAGGTCACTAAGCTGGGTTAACATACATTACATTTTCATGTAGGCACAAAGTCAGAGAAATAAGCCTTCACATAACACCAGCAATACCAGTTTGACCATCCATTCTAAAAGAAGAGTTTCACTCATTAAGGCGTACCTAATGGTGTTTTAAGACCTTATTAAATATGTAAGAGCTATAGCTGAAATAGCTCAATACTAGAATGATAATAGGAACCATAGTATCATTACACAAGATTTGCCTATAGTATTTTGTCATGTCATATTGTTGTTGGTTTTCTACAAAAGAAACTAAAATTTATAACCAAGCCCGCCTTTCCTTTCTGCCGTAATTCACATTTTCTCCTCGAGATTTCCCTCCAGTTTAAACAGCTACAAGAAAATCCACATTTGCATGATTAATAAGTTACATTTTTATACATACACACATATAGAGGGGAGCTTGGAAGTTGCTTGGCACATTCTCATGCTTGACCAACCTCCTACAATCTAAATAACTATACAAGACACAGTAAAACAGGTCTTCTCACACCAACATTTTCCCTGTTCAGTCATGAGGCTTCAGCATGTACAGGAGATGAAACAGGAGCCTGCATGGCCACGATTAACACTTGTCTGCATAATCATCCTGCAAAAGGAGGGCGTACACAACCCAATGCACTAAGTAACATGGAACACTTCAGCTGTACATACAGTGTCTTCACATACTGATAAAGTTTAGATTCATAATTTAATCTGTATATACTGTATCTTAATATGCTGGTACCAGGTATTCACAGTGACTCTAAAATAAAATTACAAGAGGAAGTCTGTACAAGAAACAAGAGAGTCCGAGTGACTGGCGAACGTTTGGCATCCCTTTTTGTCAGAGTTAAGAGTTTGTAGTTGGGGTTTAGTTTGTGGTCAAGTCAGTTCTGTTTGATTTCAATGGGATTCGGGAGAGCTGCCAGGGCTTTTTTCATTGGCACTAAGGAGAAGCAGTCTGACTCCTCTGAACACACGTTTGTTATTGGCGCCATCAGCAGTGGACACAAAAAGGTGAGGTAAGGTGGTGTCAGGGGGATGAGATCTTATCCACCTTCTTATGCTGAGCAAGACATAACCTAGGCAGGCTAAATAGAGTACAGTATGTGCCCTGTCCAGTGCTGATTTTACCAAAGCAAACAACAACAAAACAAAACAAAAAAGATGCAAGAACGACACAGAAACACACAGAAACACACATCAGGGTGGAATGGTAAGATTTCACCTATTGTCCTTACCGCTACCACTCATAAGCCATACTAAACAATTACCCAAAATAGTCACTGTAGACAGCCGCCAAACACAAAACATATTTAAATACAATACTCTGTATTTCACTATTAGTTCAAGGTGTTTTATTCAGACACCTAAAGCTATTTTGCCAGCTGAAAGAAAGAAAAGCTGCCTTTTGGCATTTTGTGGTTCTGGCCAGCAGGAGGAGATCTTCTACAGTATGGCTGCTACAATAGTGAGGTTAGAAGAAAACAGCTACAGGCAATCATGGAAGGAAACTGAAGCAGCTCTTTCCTGCCATTGTCTGTGTCTTCAGCAGAGGTATGACCCTTTTCAGTATCGCTTCAATATTGGTTTCATACATACTTCCAAGAGGAACAAGCATGCTCAGTTCTCTTATTGGGGGGGGGGGGCATTTCCAGTTTGTGTGTCCTTTTCATTTATGGATTTTGTTTTAAATTTCTTAAATACAGTACTACTGAGAAGTGAAGAGGGCAGAGAATGTTGTCCTTATGTAACGGACCTCGCTCTGAGGAGAGTCAGTTAGCATCATTACGTCTTTTGAAGTAGAAGGCTGCCTGCAGGCTTGTCAGTGTCATGCCCCCTCCCCCCTTTTTCTTGTTGTGTTTTGTTTCAAGGCCTTCCACACTATCAGCGCCAGGCAGAACCACACTCACACATTGCGACTACACAGTCTGGCAGAGAGGATAGCAATACTACTGTTCACATATATTATTGGTGATATATATACACTTTTGGTCATTTCCGATAAGACACCTCCAAACATGCTATACAGTGTCTCTCAGTCTTAATTGCCACTTTTTTATGTAAGTGCTATTCAGCCGAGCTTGTCAAGTATTTGAAGCAAGGTACAGTAAGAGATGCACACATACGGACGCACACACACACCTACGCACACATGCGGCACACTTCCACGCACATACTGTATCATATACACCTGGAGAAGCACTCTGGCATAGCACACCAACACAGCAGCCTAAGAGCTGCACATTGGTCAGTCTATGAAAGTCATGGGATGTTGAGTCATTTTTTTTCATTAGTTGATTTGCATACTCCCCCACCAGCAGGCAGGTTCCAGGATTCAGGATTGAGTCTGTGGTAAAACACAGATTGAAGAGAATACTTGTGCGTGGGGGTGCTTTTGCAAGTATGCATGAACAAAATAAGAATACTGAACGCACACGCACGCTGCTCGATTTGTATCTTTCTGCTGATTTGTGTGTTTGTGCGTGCAGTGGTGGAGCTAACAGGGCTTGTTGACGTTGCACAGCAGCTCGGTGACTTTGATGAGGCGAGCCACTGTGCTCTGCGACTCCTCCTGCAGCCGCTGGTTGTTCTGCCTGAGGCTCTGCACCTCGGCCTGCAGCACCGCCTTGTCCTCTTTCTCCTGAAAGACATCGGCACACAACAAAACAAAAGCCGTCGCTCAGATCGCTGTGGCAGGAACGGGAGGGGAGCGACAGGTACAGCGGTGGCTTTAAGGAAACTAGTGGGCACACATAAACACAGAGCTTGAAATAAAACAACACAAACCGTGTAGAGAAGCACATCTCACTGCACTGGGTGTAAAGAAACAATTAGTCACTGAACTGATCATTTCTTTGACAGAAATTTATGGTCGTCTCAGTGCTTTGGGGCTGCTGGACAGACCAAGTAAGCAACTAATCACCTACAATGGTTATACAGCAGCAATTTGATTATTTTCATTATTGAACAATCTGACAAATATTTTTTAATAGATGTTTAAACTATAAAATGTCAAAAAAAATTGAAAATTGCCCAACACAATGGCCCAGAGTCCAAGGGGATGTCTTTAATTTGCTTGTTCTGTCCGACCAACAGTCCAAAACCCAAAGATATTCAATTTACCATCATCTAAAACAGAGAAAAGAAGCAAATCCTCACATTCTGGAAGCTCGAACCAAAGAATATTTGATTTTTGATTAATCAGTTATCAAAATGGATGTTGATGAATTTTCTGTTGATCAACTAACTGTTTCAGCACTAAATGGGTATCTTATTATTCTTGTGATTTCACAGACTAAATGGCTAATTAGAAAAATTTCCATGAGATGAATCAATAATGAAAATAATACAGTTGCAGTCCTAATCACGGACTTATGAATAAATAGAAAACGTTCCATATAATTGGGAGGTATAAGTTTATATAATATTTTGTACACACAGAGACACATACACTATTGACCAGAAATTCTCAACACAAGGCCCACTCGTCTGTTGTTGACAGACTAATTCCGTCCACTGAGGGAGGCCATGAGATGTGGTTGAAAGCTTCGGAAATACAAGTGGACTTTGTGTTGAGAATTGTTTTTTTGTCAAGGGGCCGAGGTCAAGAATTCATCAGCCTTTGAATTCACCACACACAGTATTCTTTGACATCTACATGAAAAACAAGCATAGCAACACAGAATTATGTTTAGAAGAAATGTGCAGAAGAAAGTGCAGGAAAACACTGACAACAGCATTGAAGGTGTTGTAAAAGTATGATACTGGAATATTCAGACATTCTGAAAATGTTTCTGCAATTTTACTGTACAAATTTACAACAAAATTCTGAATAAATAAATTAGTGTTTTTGTATGTAATGCATTTACAGTGAGTCAGCTGTGACTAGAAATGGTTGAATGGATGAGTTTGTACAAGTAAACATAAGGCTGCATCAGAAAATACAAATCATCTCACTCCAGTGACAGAAACTGAGCAATTTAAATACTTTCCCCCTACCTGCTAACTTTTGTGTGGCGCTCACTGAAAATATTATTACAGAGAAAAACATTCATGAATGTCAAAGCACCTTTTGCAGGTCATCCTGCAGCTTCCTCAGCATGGCCTCCAGCTGCGATACCTTCTCTTCTAGGTGGCCTGGAGAGTCACTGCAACAAAGAGAGGCAGTGACACTTCGTCAAAAGCAATCACAGAATTTTACAGTTTGTAATAGGAAAATGCATAAATGGAAACCAAAGTATCAGAATGGTTTAGTTTCCCGATCAACAAATCAACAAGATAAATGTATTCAATGGTATCTCCTGCGTTTTATAAAAAGGGTTTTCTCCTCTGTTCTGCTAGAACACTCCCCGTCATCTCATACAGAGTGAACTTTTCAATTTGCTTGATTGGCCGTGGAGCCGTCTGTCACCGTGGCAGCCTCAGAGCTCAAGACATCGTCCCTGCTGCCTTTGATGAAACCTCTAATACTCAGAGATCAATTTACGGTAATTGCTACGCCTGACAAGCAGACCCATTCTGAGTGAGTATAGTCATCCGACTGCAGTTGTACATAATGACTACGCCCTACAGAGCGAGGCACAAGCGGCTTCCTGGTGATGTGAAAAGCCCGATAATGCTTTTAAAGGAAAGAACATGGAATTATCATCAAATGGTTTGGGTCTAGTGTAGTTTAAAATTTTATGTGGCAGTATTTTTTTAAATCTATTTGGTTGGTTTAAAACTCTTTTGCAAAGTCATCCAAAGTTGCAATGTGTATCTGAGGACAGAAGTTTATTGAAAAGGTTGGCACTTTGCCTTTTATCGCAGTCACCAAATGCAATCTCAGTGTATCCTTTCTTCAACTGGTATGTCCAGAAAAATGAAAAGAAGGACTTTTGACTGAAATACTGAAGAAAACAAATATTTAGTTTCCCCATGTTGTGATAATTTTTGCAATTTGCAAGTTCAGTTTCACAAACAGATACAAACAAGAGGTGATGAACTAGTACAGTATACGGATCATACTGTACTAGTGTCTTTTTTAAGCATTTTACATGCTAGCTGGAGCCAAATCTAGTGGTGGTGAAATAGTCATCACTGCTGACCTCTACAGTACGTGGGTAGATATAAACTGTGCCTGTGAATACTAGAGACTTAGACTGGAGAAAAGCTACACGTTGGTGTAGCCTGTTTTCTTATTGACTCATTTTATTGACTCATTTTTGTGTTTTGCTTTTGGCCACCAGTTCTTTAGACTTTGTGTTCAGACAGAGCATTGAGAAGAAAAATAAGGCGACCAAGGAGCTGGAAAAAGTATAAAAGTTAAATGGATTGGAGTGGGAGGTTTACAGAAAGATGACAATGACAGTGAGTCAGACACGCTGTGTGTGTGCGTGCATCTGCGTTTGCATGCACATAAGTGCATCACTGAGTCAGCAAGAGGGTTCTGTTTATGAGGGAGGGAAGCCATCGCATTGACTCAACCAGTTGGATGTAGCTGATAAAGTCTAAACAATTAAGAGAGAATAAAGGACTAGAGTTGAGAAAAGGCATGTGTGCAATGAAAAAGAAAACCAAGAGACTGACTACAGAGATACTGCACTGTCTGCTTCACCCTGTGTATACTGTATAGCAACCCACCTCTCCTTTGAGTCTTTCAGCTTGCCGTCTGTCTGGTCTCCTGCTTGGGAGGGGTCACCGGCTTTACGGTCTGTGATTAGGAACATTATCCACATTATTACAATTTGAAATGGCCACACATACAATAATCACAAGTAGAGATGTGGGAGATGTTGACTTTCTCTCAGTATAAAACATGGAGTCATTTATACACTTCCTAAAGCAACTTTTCTTTAAATAGAAATTTGCACTCATATGGAATATACATTATATGGCCAAAAGTATGTGGACACCTGAACATTATACCCATATGTGATTGTTTAACAATATGCTACTATAACAGCCTGCATCAGTGAGGTTGGACACTGGTTGGACAGTCAGAAAGGTGTTGTTGTACGGGGTTGTGGTTAGGGCTCTGGGAAGGCCAGCGTAGACCTCATTTTGTGCACAGGGGTGTTGTCGGGTTGAAACAGGTAAGGGTTGTGTGTTGTTACAAAGACGGAATAACACTGTTGTCTAAAATATCATTATATGTTATTTAATTAAGATTTCACTTATTTTGAACAAAGCAGCCTAAACCACGAAAGACAGCCCCAAATCAAATATCTACAGCCATGGGTGTCAACTTACGTTTGATCATATGGTATTAATGCTATTGATTATTTTGCCAGCAAATCAGAGGGCAAACATTACAGTTACTTTAATCCAAATATTCAGAGTTTATCTAAGTCAAATCTTAAGATTGTAGAAGAAATAAACACATTAAGAAGTCTCTAGTTGGCAATCAAATCCAGGTTTCTCTCGGTATTTGTGACATTTGCAAACCACTAAGACACTTGTTGTATTAATTCACATTTAAAATGCAGAAAGTGAGATGTGCATAAATAAAAAAGATCCTCACCCTCTCGTGACAAAGCCTCCAGGATGCTGCGGCAGGCTGTGGCCAGGTCAGCAATGGACTGCCACTCCTCCTCAGTCGAATCTGTCGTCTCTGAAAGAACTGAGAGAAAGACATTTATCACCCTTTTTTACCAGACATATCTCAGTGTGGCAAACATAATGTAGCTGGGACAGCAGAACAGTGGGACTGCAGAATTTTAGCAGCCGTTCTACAGTAACAGAGAGCGACCACTGGGGAGTGCTGCTGTGTTAATTCAGATTCAGGGGCAGAATGTAGAGGGACAAGGGGGAAGTATTATAAAGCATTTTTTACACCAGATGAGGTGAAATTGAAGACAGCATACCACCACGATGAGGGTAAAAATGTAGGAAAGTTTGTTAAATATAATTTAGAACTTTTGGTAAATTATTAAAAGCAAATATAATAAAAACATTTAAAAATAACAGCATTCAATATGCTAAAGCTGTTTCTTTTTAGGGTCTATTAAAGGCCTTGAATATCATCTTTTAGTTTAAGAACTTGCGATGCATTTTATTGACCTGCACTACATAAAACAATCAAGAGTCTTCAGAGGCCACCCCCACAAAAATCAGAAGAATCCAATGAGAAGATGAGCAAGTGTGCTCTTACAGCGCTTAAATGATGAGTCTCATAGTCTCAGCAGAGGCAGAGCAGATGGTGTAAGAGGGGCTCCTTGATTTGGGGCTGCCTAAAACTCCACCCCTTCCACTACCCATCTGTCCCCCTTTTATCCCAGCCCTGGCAGGGGGTGGCAGCAGAGCAGGGGTGATATTAGATTAGCGGAATAGGGGGCAGCGTGGATAAAAGAGGAGGGACAAAGGGGATGCAGCGGGGAGCAGAGGGAGGATAATGAAGAGAGGGGTTTAAGGCAGGAAAAATCTGGAAAAAGGAATTAAATCGGACAGAGATGATTTGCAAACATGTGTAATAGTTCCATTTTGGCATCATTTGAGCAGTCGTGTCAGTTGTTGTGTCTGAAAAGGGAGCTTTGAATTGAGTCCATGATCAGGCTCAGAATATCTCGGTGTGCTCTTTGTCTTCTAATTCATTTTCACGCATTTATTCATTTTATTTTACATGCTGCTACTGTTCATTTTGTAATAAGGATTATCAATATATTTTGAATATTGTAATTACACATATTTCATTGTAAAATAAAATCAGCAGGAATATGGATGTTCTTACTCTTGGTGATGGAGTTATGAAGACTTAGGGCTCGTGAATTTCTTTCTGCTCGATCAACACATGACAGCCGGGAAGAGGAGTCACTCGCTGAAGCCTTGTCCTCGCCAAACTCAGCCCCCATAAACTGAAGACATAGAGATAGAGATAGAGGGGAAACGACACTGTCAGAGAGGTGATGGAGTGCTGAGGAGAAACCACTCACATGTCCTTTCGTCTCAGTCTGTCACCTGTTCGTCCTCCAGGGAGACCTTGGGTTTGACAGCCAGGATCAGATCAGGTGTGGCATCCCTCAGCTCGCCGACGTTCGCGTAGATGTGCCCCTTCAGCCCCACATTGTCGTACACGTGCCTGTCAGGAGGGGAGAGATATGGTGGTGGGGAAAAACACAAAGCAAATCTGTTGTTGATGCTTCGTGACATTATTTTTTATCCAATCCAGAGGTCATAACAGAAACTGGAGCACTTAGACAAGTAATCTCCAGGATGGCTTAGATATGGCCTGATTGATGTTTGCTATCCTGCACTCACACATCTATCAGAAATATCATATCTGGTGCGGTTCTGCTTTGCGTGACAGAAAGCAGTCAGATTCATTTTGGTGAGCAGCAGATATTAATATTATCTTAATGAATATTTTCCTTTATTTCCTCCTCAAGCTGATGTGGCTTTTCAGAGTTCTCGGGGTGAAACCAACCAATGTGCTTAAATGATTTGTCAGGCAGATACATACACACAGCTGCTTTTACATATGGGGTTTTCTCTCTCCTTGTAGCTCAATACATGGCAAACATTCTCGTGACTGTTGGCCAAGGACCATGATATTCAAGAGAATCTAGTGCACAGTGCAGACCTTAATATAAGTGACTGTTTAATGGAAACGAATGTGCCCTCTCTTGTTTTCATTTACTTGACTTGCTGTCAACATTTATGACATGCAGAAGGAAGAAGGAATTTAATTAACAAAAAATTTAAGTTCTACTGCACAACCTTCCATATATCTACGTGCCAGAGGCAAAAAAATAAAGCATTAAAATAGAAAATACGACATCTAAGTGAGTTTTCTAATGTGAAACATAATTAAAAGGTTTTGCAGTGAGTTAACACACTTCTGTGACGCAGAGTGACACACTACTTGGTGTCCTTTCTCCGTGCCTTGTCCTTTGCAGGAAAAGTGACGCACTGACTCTGAGATTAAATTGTGATGAGTCAGCTTCAGTTTGAGGATATTTAGGAGCCCTGTTACCTCATGGTCTCCCAGTGTGCAGATGTAACTAGAAGGATTACAAAATCTCGCAAAGCAGCGTGTCTTTCTGTTTTGTATTTCTCTATAACGCCTCCATAACACTTACATGTCAGGTTAGTGACATGAGCTTTAATAACACTCACCCATCACACGTGTCCCCGTAGGACGGCTGTCTCTCCAAAGAGCAGCTGCGTGTGAGCTGCGAGGTGCTGTCCTCCTGGCTCTGATTGGCTGGCTGGTCCTGCAGAGAAGTGGCCCGTAACAAAGGTAAGCTGGGCGGTGTGAGGAGCGAGCTGTGACTTCTCTCACTTTGCCCTTTATCACACGACTGCCCATCGCCCTCCTCGGCCTCCACCTGGACCTCTATTATGTCCGCTTCACTGACACCACCCGCCTTCAGATTGTCCTCCCTCGCCTCCCTCTCTGCCTCCTCTTCCTCCTCCTCCTCCTCCTCCTCCTCTTCTTCCCTCTCGTCCAGCACCCAGGCCTCTCCAGACTGATCCTCGCCAGGCTTGCACTCAGCATCCTTGATTGCTTTCTGGTACAGTTCAGAGAAACTTCTGCAAAACGTAAAACAACAACAAAATTAGTAAGAAGAAAATCAACATGCCTCTCTTTTTCCAGACGGCTTTTCATTGTGCTGTTGAGTCATAAATTAATCTAGAAGCCAAAACCAAAGATGAGATGGAGAAAAAAAGGGCTATATTTGTCTAAGTTTCTATTATTTTCCTTTGAAATCACAGAGCCTCCACTTCCTGTGAAGAATTATGACATCTTTGTGACAATTTGTGCTTTGTTGTCACAGAACAAGGACTGAAAGGACTGAAATATAAATAAACCAGGGGAGGTTCTCTGAAGATGCTTCCACTGCCTGCTTTGAAATGTTGCTCTAAAGTTAAGAGCTTCAGGGGTGTCCAGTTTAGTATTGTTTTTTATTTATTTTAACAACTCTGTCCATAGCTGTCTCTGCCCTCTCTCTGACCTCAGCTGTATGGAAAGTGTGCTCGTAACAGTGGGACAGCCGGTGCCAGCATGATTAAGGATCATTAGTGGGACTGATTGGTTGTTAGCCAGCTGGTGTGACACTGACTGCAGGCCGTCACCCACAGCAGAGTGAGCAGTGACCACAGAGTAGCACCTCTTTTGTTTTTCTGGACTGACCTATCCCACTAACCCCCTTCCCCTTATTTGCTGTCACCCTCTCTCTCACCCCTTCACTTGGACTACTCTTCGCTTTCTGGAGCACGCTTTATACCCACGAGCCCTTTCTCACCCTGTGTCAGATGACCCAAACCTTGTTAGTTCTCTCTCTCCTCCTCCTCCTCCTCCTCTTCCTATATGCAGCCTTACCCACCTGCGAGGCTTGCCGTTCTCGTCCGGTGGGATGACAGTGATGTGGATCTTGTGCGCGGTGCGGAGCAGCCTGGTCCTCTCCTCGGGGGTCAGGTGAACCAGTGAGTGTCCGCACAGGCGCACCACGCGAGCCCACAACTGAAGGCCTCCGCTCTCGGCATAACAGAACCGCTGCAGCTCCGTCACAAAACCCTCCTCGTTCATCAGGAAGCCGGGCTGCCCGACTCCGTCACGCAGAGGGGTGACCTCCAAAGCCTCACAGCCCCGGGTGACCAGCTGCAGATGAGAAGAGGAAGATGAATGAATTAGAAAAACATAAACCACCCACTGCAAAATTTCAAATCCAGACACAATCACCCACCTCTAGCCTCTGCACCACCTCTCGTATATCCTCCGTCTGGCTCTCCATCACACTGATTGACACTGACTCCCCACGCTCATAGAAGATATCCAAGCAGGGCCCCCCCATCTTAGTTTCTGTCACTGCCTTCCAGCCGATGACATCTCGACAGGAGCAGTTAAACACCACCCTGCGCGTGCACCTTTCAATGAGCACCACCGACTCAGCCGACACCCCAAGCAGACAGGGAAGCCTGTGCTCTCCCGCCTCCCCTTCATCCATGTTGACCATCACGGCCCACACCAGCGCCCCGGCGCTGTGCAACTCGGCACCTTTGGCGCCCTTCAGCTTGTCTTTGCGCTTGCCTCCCAGAGAGAGCAGGGGGAACTTGGTGGAGGAGTCGATGGGTGTGGTGGTCACATAGTTTTCAGCCAGGTCCTTCAAGTATTCCTGCCGCGTGCGGGTAGCCATGGAGCGAAACTTCTCTGACTTCTCCGCAGCGTTTTCAGCATTCACTGCCTTCGCCAGGAGGAAGTCTCTGAACGCAAGCGAGCGAGGGAATCGGGCGCCCTTAGGGAAGAGTGGGCCAAATAATGGCATGTCTTTTGAACGTGTCACAGCCACTCTGAGAGGGAGAGAGAAAAAGAGCAATGACAGAGTAAGAGAGAGGGTACAGCGGAGACATTGTCTTGTTTGCAGTGCTTGAGTGTAGTGTAGTACTCTCCAGAATAACAAACATTTACACTGAATCTGCTGCCGAAGTGATTTTTGCCCTACAACTACTATGATTTAAGATACATGTATGTCATGAATGATATAGTGAGAAAAATAAGTCTCTTTTTGTGTGTGTTTCCCTTAAAGCCCAGATCTTTTTATAACATCCCTTCTTTTCATTAAATCAATAATGGTATTCTGAACAGTGTAACAGATGGGATTAAGTCAGACCTGTAATAGGTGTTGTCAGTGCAGGGCTCATGAACCTGAACGATGATGAAGACATGTTGGAAATGGGAGCGGATGGACTTTGGAGTGAAAGGCTGGGCTCCTGGCTCCTGGAACACGATTGTCACGATATCGTTACCGATATGTCGTTTCCTCAGCAACTGACGACACAAAACAGGGACACAGAGAATTTATTGAACAAGCAGGTCAGAGTCATTACAGTAAACAAACATGTCATTTCAATCGAAATGGTTCTCTTTTAATGTTTTTTGTGTGCATGGTTTTGGTGTAATTTCGTAGTTGATTACTGCAATGGTTATATTCAAACTACATTATTTATTGTATGAAGTGTAAACATTTGTTGATTATATGTACTGTATTTTCTTTGTCTAGGCAACAACTAATTGGGATCCAAATAAACAATAAGCGAATAAGTAAAATAATAGAAATCCAACCATCCATCCATCGTCAACCGCTTATCCTGCATACAGGGTCACAGGGATAATAGAAATTAAAACTGTTAATTTAGCAGCACTGAAGTCAACTACCTAAAGCTAAGCAAAACAAAATAAATATTAAAATAAGCAGCTGTAAGTATTTGCAAGGCCATGATCAAGCTATTGTTGCTATCGTTGTTAGTGCAATTAAATTCTAAAAGAATAAATAAAAAATGTACTGAGAGATTGCAGAATTAATTAAACATTAGGAAACTTTTTATGACTTCAAAAAATACCACTTCCTTAAAAACAAAACAAAAACTAGAATCCCAAGCTGTTGACGGCATAAAGTGACCAGATTGAAGAGGTATCTCACAGCTTTGTCACGACCATGTTTTGTTTAATTTAAACCTTTAATCTATATTAGTATGTCATGTCCAGTTTCTTTGTATGTAACAGCAAACAGGCTTAAGCCGCAGACTGCACATAAAGAACTGAACAGGAAGGCGGCCTGAGAAGCGACAGTGAATCATGGTGGGAGTGAACACTGGGGGGCAGGATTTTTATTTCATGCTTGTTGCGGAGTACAGAGGCTTTTTCTAAAACATTTACTAAAGCATGGCAGTCTCAACAGAGATGGGAAATGAAAGTATGAAAGTTGTAACAAGACTGATGCAATTTCTTTAAGAAAAGAGGTAAAACATTTGAGAAAATTCTGTGATGCAGAGATGATGCAGGAGTTTATTTTACCTGTTGTGTGTTGTTGGCCGTGTAGGGCAGCATAGTCGACACATGAAACATAATCTCATAGTCCTGGTACCGCGTGTAGAGGGAATGTGTCCCAGTTGAGTCCGCTACACAAGGACAAGACACACAGAAATGCACACATCACACAAAGAGATGTAGCTGAATTCAAACTGTCACAGTCAGGGTGAAATCTGTCCCATTTGCTATTCTGTGCTGCTCACTGAAGGGAAAACAGCTCTCAGATAATCAGCAGTGACCATGCTATTTTGCAGGCATTACTCAGATTACATGTGGCTAGATAGGAGTTATCTTAGGCTTTCAGTGGTGCACTGATGCCCTTCGGATAACAGTCCTGTGACAAGGTGAGATCCAGCCAATAGATCGGGTGTGTGGGGTGTGTGTTTTCAGCTCACTCTTGTTGTCCAGCTGAGCTCGGTATTTCTCCCAGCCCTTCAGGCGCACCCGCTCCCCGAGCAGATCCAGAAACTCCTCGAACGCTGGCCCCGAGCTCTCGTTGTTGTACATGTCTTCCTCTGAGCTCTGCCCGGCCCGGCAGTACATTACCCCGACCTTTCGCTGGAAGTTCAGCTACATTAGATGACAGAGAAGCACAGAGTTTGTAATCATCCTTGCCACACTGTTAACTATGCATAACTATACCATCTTTTTATCCAAAATACTGGGACTTTCCATCTCATAGGGTTTCCTCATCATTTGACATATTATTTCACATCTCAAAAAGCTTTTTTGAAAAATGTCTGTTATATAATATTATACACCTACACAGCATACATTACACTATTAACTCCATTAATCGCTGTCGGATTTTTCAGGCTGCTCAACGCTTCAAGAGAGTTTATTTTGTCAAAGTTGTTCATTCCTTTTCTGAGGAAGGGGGACCTGGAGGCTATCTGGAGTAGGTGGGTTTAAATGTTAAGTAGTTCTGCAAGTATAAAGGGCCATACAAATAATGTTTCTATATAACTTTTGAATGTTAAATCTCAGTTTTTTATTCTATTTGAGTGTTTGTCAGACAAAATAAGCAAATTGGGCTCTGAGAAAAATTAATCAAAGTGATTTAAATTGATTTAAAAAAAAACAACAAAACAAGGACACAACCTGATTGACGTCAAAAAGTATCACCAGACAACTACATGGTGAGTC